GAGTTGATGGATTTTTAAATTATCCCTTACAAGAATTATCATACTTACCTCGTACGGCAAAGTTTGAAAAAAGGATACAATATCCAAATATAGCTCCAATTTAATGTTTTATTAATGATAGGAAATATCATTAAGATGTTATAAGCGTATTATTTGCTTGAGGCGTGCTATTTTTATTAATAATATCTACTTTCTTAGACTAATCTTATTTTTAAGTACGTGGAAAGCACTTTATTTATAGAAATATAAATGAAATTTTTATGAAGTAAAAATGATTCACAGTTCAAAGTTTCTTTGAATTGCACCGTATAAGTCATTAACACTATAATAATACGAGTGGAACTTTAATAATACTACAAGTTTTTTCTTACCTAGACAAATTTAGTTAGTTTCATTTGTTTGGTCCCATTCATCATTCTCTTTGACTGTATCCATAAGTGTCTAATTACTTTATTATGTAGTTAGAGATATCTCGATTTACCTGTAGTTATAAAATCCTTATCAACTTTTATTAAAATATTAAGCCTATATACAAAGTTTAAGAAAGAAAAGCATATGAAATATTTGTTAAATCTCAATTTACCTATATATTACAACTATACAAAACTTGTCGAATCACATCTCAACTATATAAAATAATATTGATGCCGATGATAGTGTGTTTAGGATGAAAACTAGTCCATTTGCCACAGATTTTTGAATGATTTATGTTATTTTTATTAATTGAAACTTGATTATAATAAATTTTTATTGTATATCCAGATGCATATAAGTGATTACATACGAGTTCGTATAATGATTTCTGATTCATTAGTAGGTGGGTTATGTTTACTGGAAGTTACATATTACTTTTAACCAGGTTTTTATAAAATATAACTGAGTGCTTTATTTTTAATACATCCAAACAAGATGTGATTCATATTACACTGGGAAATATTATCGCATAGAATATCCGCTAAGAACAGACTTAAAAGTCTGAGATGATCACAGTATCTTGCAAATTCTCGTGCTCTAACCAATCCAGAACTTTCCTAATAGCTACTACTTCTGCAGTGTAAATAGTACATTGTATTTATTTTAAATAATTTGTTATTAGAAGGAATGTACACTGCAGACTCTACCTTCCCATTGTTCAGTTTAGAACCATCAATGTAAATTATAGTTTTAGTAGTATATTCATTTAATATGGATGAATTCAAAAACTTGTTATTTATTTTATGTTAATCTGAATATTTCGGAAATATAATAATTGGTTGTTTGAAGATCGTATTAAATTCTAATTTATAGAGTGGTATAATAAAATTTATTGAAAATGTTACCGGTAAATCATTGGTTTCCAGAAAGGCATCCGCTAATGGTGGAGAATTTTTTATTTTCCAATAATTGTTAACTAGATTTTGTATGGATAATTCATAGAGCATACTCAGTAAGCCACTTGTTCTGGCCCTTATTTTTAATAAATATTTTGTTATCAATAATCTCTATGATTTTTTAATGGCATTTCATTACTTTCAGCAAGTAACAGAGGGCATGGTTTTGATTTCAAAGCACATATAGTTAATCTCAAACTTTTAAACTGAATACGATCTATTGATGGTAAATTTGTATTGCTTGCTGACTCGTATAAACATACATACTTAATCCAAAATTGATCGCATGTAGGTTATGTAAAACATCAATGCAACTTTGGGATCAGCACTCCATCTCCTGCAAGTGACACATTTAAGTAGATTGGTGCCTTTTTTAAATACCAATTGATTTATTTTAAATCTAAATGACAATTTTCAACGGCGAGTTCATTTTTTAAGCTAATATAGATATTTTAAGATAGAAATTTAATTATTTTTTGAAAACGACCTAAATTTGCTTTAGTTCTAAACGATGTAGCTTTCATTAAATCCGATTTAAAGTAGCAACACGATGCGAAAACTTCGTTGCATAGGTTATGGATTTTGTTAATTAAATTTTTCGCTTTTCCACGGCGCTTAATGATGTTCCTGTTTATAGTAAAACTTTGTATAAAAAAGCTAATCCAGTTGGATGTAGAGAACCGTAAAATTAATTTTGTATCTGTTTTTAAACATGACATGTACTACTTATTTCCGAAATCGGATTCATTAGAAAAAAATGTATTGTTCTGTTCGTTTCTAAGAAGATCTTATAATGAGAGATTACCAGATTTCTAAGAAAGGATCTATTCGATAGCGATAAAGTATCGATATGCAGTATGTCCCAGATACTGTAGTTTTCTCGTTTGGTGGTATTGACAACTGCCAATACTTCTTTTTGTTTGTTTAACATTTGTTTCTCTGGTTATTTTATGCACTCTTATACATATGTGTTGACATATAAAATTTGAAGTGTTCCCTGCTATTTAATAATACTTTTCCTACCAAGTTACTTTAATACTTTTTATTTGTTTTAGTGCACTGTATTATAATTAAAAACTGCAACTGATTAAAAAAATGTTAAGTGAATCACTTGTATATTATTAACTTATTACAATCAGTTATGTAAAATTACAGTTTATTACATATTCCGCCTTGTCATTTCGTCACTCCAAACCGCAAACTACGATTTTTTAAAGATTGTACGCGGTATTTCCGTTTTGATAGTGAAATTCCATTTGAAAACCCATTTCAGTTTTGATGTCCCTATGAAAAAGCCATTTTAGATGTACCTAACTATGCGGCATTCCATTAGTAATATTACTTGTAGAACGATGTTTACATGTTGGATGAATCATTTGACATTGTTAGAAGAAATCTTTAAGTAGTCCAGTTACTGAGGGTTTTTATTACCTCCGATTTCTTTATAACTGAATCGATTTATTTGCAATTTTGTGTTGGTAAATAACGAAAAAACATGTTTTTCAAAGGTTTTTTTATAAATAGCTCTGAAATTAAGAGTGTTATCAAAAAAAGTGTAACGACTAAAATTAAAGGCATTCCGATTCTAACGCATTGAGATTCTAGAACGTTTGATGTTCTACTAAAATGCTTTTGTTTTGTCACACCAAAAATAATGTATGCAGATTTATTTTGTTATTATGAATGCATATGCAAAATAAAACGTTTTAAGACGCACGAAAGTGTAAAGTTTTAGTTTTAGAAATTTATTGAAACAACCGGATACTACTACTTATTAAAACATTGTAGACAACATAATTAATGTTAATACAAACATAAGTATATAATAAAACTAGTTGTAAAATAATTTCTATTTTTTAAAATGACCAAACAATACTTAAAAATAAAAGGTCGAAAAAACACTTTATCAAGCGGTTGAAGTCAGTGTGGGTTTTTTTGTCTTCTTCAAGTGTCATCTCCGCGACAGAGGTCGGCAATCATCATAGCTATTTGGACTTTTGAGACGGCTGCTCTGAAAAGTTCATTTAATGTACCTCTCAGGTTGCGTAGCCATGACATTCTACGCCTCCCTATGCTTCTCTTTCCTTGAATATTTTCCTGCATAATCAGTTAGAGCAAGGTGTATTTCTCTCCACGTGTAATATGACCGAGATATTCCAATTTTCTTGTTTTAAGTGTATTTAATAATGTGTGGGTTCGAATAGTCACAAAGATGTTCAATACCATTCACGAAAGCGTATTCAAATGCAAATTACTTATGGTCTTTTCTTGTCAATCCATAAAACCTTATATCAAGTTGCCTTAGGTGTTCTGCAAGCTGGATGTCCATATTATTAGAAAAAACACATGAATCTACCTAAAGATGTAGGCACCGTGCCACATTTTAAGCGTTTGTGAATAGTGAACTCTGGAATATTTATTTCTCTAGCTTTTTTGCCTTTTCGATTTTCCATTTTCAATATTAGTCCGTATTTGTTCCATCTGTTGCTCGGTAAAAATCAGCTTCCTCTGCGACGTTTTCTTGTAGGTGTGAGCACTAATTTTCTAAAAAATAAAACAATGCTAACTATTAACTTAGCAGAGTGATTTCTTTAGATTATAATATACACATATTTTTCTCCGTAACATTAGGTACACCGCTCTTTAATGTACTTTAATAGTACATCGAGTAAGCATTGCGTACTCTTGGAGCAGCATACCAACTGATCTCTACATATTGTCTTTTTTTTTAACAAAAAACGTAGTAAAACGTAGAATAATCATATTCAAGTGTAATAAATGTACCTACTTACCACACAGCACGTTATTTTAAACAATAGCAAAAACTATACATAAACTATAGTATACTGCAAGCACATTTTTGCATAACGCCCTTTAAACAAACATGTAACCTGTCTGTATTTACTAGCAGAGTCTGTATTTCTAGGGGTAAAAGTTCAAAACGCATAGAATAGATATTACATATTATCACTTCTAAAATACATATTTTAATAAAAACAGGTGTGCGCATTCTTGGGAGAGTGCGTACTCTTGGGTCACCTTACCGGGCTTACATTGGGTTGCAAGTCATATCGGAACATGACTTACAGCGCAGGTTCTCACAGTGAAAAGTTTGAATGGAGCGATGTAAGGATGTGGAAGACTATAATTATTGAAGGAGGAAAACAGTTTCGTAACTTAGTATTGTCAGGTCTCGTATCATTTCCCTTTTTATGTGGTTTTATTTTTTAGTTCTAAAAATGGCTGCGGTTTTGGCGTTATAGAAAGAGTTGTGGATTACCACAAATTTTAAAGATTAGGTCTGCTAATGCAGTGTAGATAATAAGCATGTGACCAACATAATTTTTAATTGTCGGCCACATCAAAGGACGGCGAATATAAAAAGAATTGAAAAATTTATATGTACATCTGGATTTGTATATTTTTATTATAGTTTGATGCAGTTAAATAGAATAATGTATGACAAATTTATAAAACATGATAAATGAATATCTTTATACGACAATTTTTTTTATAAACATAAAATTTAATTTAATTTTAATTAATTAAATTATGAATTATCAATAAGTTGTTTGTTTTTATATTTTACGTTGTTTTATGGTTTGTTAACAAGGTTGTTTTTTGTTACAGGTGGGCCAAATTGCGGGTGGCCATGTTACCTACAGTCATAATTCTTGAACCACTCTCCGAGTGCATGGTGATCGGAGCTTGTGCAGCTTGGGCGGCCAGCCTGTTGTTCCGATGGGAGCCCCTAGTTTTTTATTTAATTCATATACTGGTATGGTTCTTGTGTGATTGGATGTTGTTGTCAATAATACAAGTAAGTTATAATACCTACATAATATACTAAAAATCTTTAGTTATCCATCTATTTAAATCAGACATGGGCAAACTTTTAAGGGGGTGGTTAGATAAAATAAAAAATTATTGATAAAACTATGACTGAGCTACTAAAAGTTGTTAATAATCTGGTAGAAGCCGAGACCGCAGCAGTGAAGCTAAATTGTGGTCAGTCAATCGGTTTCTAAAGGAAGATGCAAGCATCGCAATAATTATTTTCTGAGCGTGACAGTTCAGGTTTGTAAAACTTGATTGTGATAGTGCTTTGTAGAATTCAACTTTAACAACGTTGAGAAATATGTATTTATAGCGTTAACAGGCCTTTTATGCCTATTGGCGGATGGATAATGTCTATCGTTTTGGGTTCTTAGCTGTCAGCTTCCAATCTCTGATTCCCATCTCTCTGACATCTTCCATCACAACATCTCTTCATTTCTTTCTTGGTATTCCTTTTTTTACCCCATGTACTCTCAATATTCTTGACTTGTCTATTACCTTGCATTATTTCTAGATGTAGATGATTCTAATGTTAGCATACAATTGGTAGACTTCTACATTAGTTCGTCTTCTCCATTCTCCATATACCACTTTTCTACCAAACATTATGCAAAATATCTTTCTTTCCCATGCTTCCAATCTGTTCTGTATCGTTTTGTTCATAGTCCATGCAAAGAATAGTCCATGTCTCGGCAGCGTATAGCATTGTGGCTCAAATTATATTTTTGTATACTCTTATTTTTATATTACGAGATAATACTTTGGCCTTAATTATTTTGTTCGTGGCCCCAGCAAATCGGCTGTTCTTGGTCAGTATCAGGTTGATTTCAGTTTCTTCCTTACATGTCTGATCAATAGGGGTACCTAAGTACATATATTCATCCACCTTCTCGAATTCCACAACTGATCCATCGTCCACCTCTAATTTAAAGAAGTCTTGGTGTTTATTTGGGGAGAGAAGGAAAACTCCCAGACAGTTTGTATGTATGTATTATAATAGCTATTCAAAAGAAAGGGGATCCACTAATATGTGACAACTACCGAGGCATTACTCTCTTAAATACGGCTTACAAAGTACTGGCTTATATACTTTATGATTGTTTACTAGTATATACTGAGGAAAACTAGGCAAATACCAATGTGGATTCCGACAAAGAAAGGTCAACAATTGATCAGATTTTCCTTCTCAGACAAACCTTAGAAAAGACATATGAATATAGAATTGATATCCACCACTTCATCATAGATTTTAAAAGCGCTTATGACAGTGTATACAGAAGCGCACTTTATAATGCCATGGCAGAACTAGATATTCCGTCGCATCTAATAACATTGGTAAAGGCAATTCTTTCGAAATCGGGCATAACAACCAGATGATCAATAGAAGTGTACAGATATTGGCCTACACAGATGACATTGACATAGTAACACGGACAAAAAGAGACTTGATACAGGCTTTGGAAACATTAGAAAAAGCCGCGAAGACAATGGGACTGCAGGTCAACGTATCCAAAACAAAATACATGAAGGTCACGAACAGCACACAAATAGCGGCACCACAACATCTGATGACAGAAGCACACAAATTCGAAGGGGTCTCGGAGTTTATATATCTGGAACACAACTAAATAACAGCAACCTAGTAAGCGTAGAAATTAAGATAAGAATATACCTGGCGAACAGAGCTTACTTTGGACTAAAGCAGTTCTTAACATCACACATAATTAGCAGAAAAACAAAGATACTAATATATGAAACTCCTATTAAAACTGTCCTGACAGACGCGTTAGAGACATGGACTATGGTAAAAAGTGACGAAGAACTGTTAGGCCGCTTTGAAGAAAGAATACTTAGGCACATTTGAGTTGTATCAATGGTATGAAAAATGCAACATCATCCGGTCTATTAAAATTAATATACTAAGGTGGCTAGGACACCTTGAAAGTATGGACACTGGGGACCCAAAAAGACAGATATTATATCAAGAGCCAGTAGGAATTAGGAAGAGAGGCAAGCCAATATCTAGATTTACAACTCAAGTAGAAGATGACTTGAGGAATCTACGGGACAGAAATTTGAAAGCTAGGGCGAAAGATAGGGGGGAATGGAGACTAATTCTTGAATAGGCCAAGACCCACCCAGGGTTGTAAAGCCAAAGATGATGATGATTATGTTTTATCATATCGTAAAAAGTTGAATTCCTTGAATACGGCTACAGCTTTAATGCAAATAAGGCACACATATTTATCTTTAATAGGCGTGAAAATGTAGTTCCAATACTTTGCTCATATCTGATTTATATTCAAATATACAATTTAATAATGATAGATAGAACTTTTAAAGTGTACTTTTCAAGATTTTCTTTAACACTACACTTGTTTCTGTTCTCACATAACGTCTCGTAAACTAATTTGCCTTTTGTTAGTGTAAATTGTAAGGTTTGCAGCATCTCGATCGTAATATATTACATTAAAATAATGATTCAAAAGGACCACAATACCGAATGACACCTTGAATGTACCTGCAAACCCTTTATACCTACCAGCTTTATTAAATTTAGACCGTTACTAATGAACTTATAAGGGTATAATGAAATCTATTATGCGACCATATTTATCAGAGCGTGTAAAATGAACATTGCTAATATCTTGACAGGTGACAATCAAATGATATCTGAAATATGTGGATAGGGAGTTTGAACCACATATTAAACGTGTTTAAATAAATGGAACAAAATCAAAATTACCAGGTTCGTACGATAAATACGTAGGCTCATATTAGAATGTCGCTGTTTCCGAATAATCTACACGTTAAAATATTAACGTACTCTCTTTAGTATGCGACAAAAATAAAAATGGATAAATAAACTGACGCAACGAAAGTATTGAAGGGCGTAATAGAAATCTTGAACTTAACGAAATTGATTCAATTGAACTTGTTTTAACGAGAAATACTACAAAGTTATACCTGTGTAGATCTGGTCCATTTCGAAGATATAGGACAGGGGTCACCAATTAATTATATTACCTGAGCGTCCGTTTTAAAAAAACTACTACACTTCCGTGGTCCGGACACTCAGCACTAAACCAAGTAATGCCGTAATAGGGGTGGGGGCTTACCCAGAAACCCTCCAGTACTTGTAATCGCCTCCCTCAGGAGATCATTCTGATTAGGCAACTAGGCCACCTCGTTTAGGGAGGGGTATTATAGCTATATAATATATAAGCTATTATATTGTTTTTCTCAAGTCTTTTTTTAATAACTTTTTGCGGAGGAATTTGAAATATTTGTATCTTAATCGTTTAATGATACTGTTTTTGGTTGCTTTCTTTCTGCATCTATAGTGTTCAACAGTTTTATGGAACATATTCAAGGTGTTTCAAAAAAAGGTAACCCCGTCTCTTGGGTAGGTAAAAAACTGAAAAATAATTGCAGTTTGCTTAGTAAAAAAATTTTGTAACGCCATGTAATGAAATTTTATACGAATATGTTTTGGAAGCTGATACATCCCATGAATTTGTTTTTATATCTGATTCTCATAGAGGGCGCTAGTTACACGGATCGTACTAAGTATTAGTCAATATAACTTTTTTAAGAGTATAATTATTAATCAAAATTTCACGTAAACCTAAACATCATTCAATTTTACACGAAAAAAGTACTCTTGGTAAAACTCGATACTATGTACCGTTTTTTACCTACCCTAGAGACGGGGTTACCTTTTTTTTGAAACACCCTGTTTAAACATTTAAATGTTAGTAACAGCTTACTTTAAATAGAGTTTGTTTACTTTACCAGCTTCGCTGGTCCGTACACCGTACGTACACCTCTTGTTTAACAATTGCATAACATTTTCAATTTTGTGGAAATCAGCATATCGTTTTTTACATTCCAAATAAAGTTCATTAATAAAACGTGAGAACTAAGTAACATCAACATTTTTTTACTATCACAATCTCAGAAAGAAGTTTAATCTTTTTAGAAAATCTTCTAATATTCGACAAAAGTTCACAAACAAGTGTTCCCTTGCATTCTAGTTTTAAATTCAAGAAGTTCAGATGTCTGAAGATATCCGCCAAAAATGCGATAGTTGCAACGTTTTCTGTATCCAAGAGGAAGCCCAAAGGGTCATTTGCAGCTTCATTATTAATAGTGGACAGAAATTCTGTTTTGTTGTCAAGTATTGCAAACAATCTTTCAAGCACTAAACCTTGAATTGACGATGCCTCAAAGATAATTTTGCACGTACAAAGTTCACTATCTTCATGAAGAATTGGATTTAAACTGCAATACAACATACTTTGATGAATAATACAGTGATGCGATATTAGATTTTTATTGCACTTAGTTGCTGAACCAAGACTTTTCTACACCCAACCATCGCTTCAGCGCCGTCCGTAGTGATCGAAATAACTTTTTTTAATCCAAACCATCCTTGCCAAAATAGTCCACCACAGCCTTGTGTAAATCCTCTCCTGTAGTAGTTCCTGATATAGGCAAAATAGTCAAAAGTTCTTCAACAAACTCTTCACTGGTTCTGTCCAGGTACCCCCAAAAATTACAAGCTGTGCTGTATCTGTAATGTCGCATGACTCATCCAATGCCAAAGCAAAAATATTTAGTGACAGCCAAGATTTGTTTTAACATTTTGTATATTTCAACTGCCAATACCTGTGTATTCCTTGTGCTTGAAGTAGTAGATATTGGAATACACTGAATAATATCGACATCACCCTTATTTTCAAATAATGAATTTTCTGATTAAAGAAAACACCCTTTAACGATAGCTGCTTCAATAAATGGCTTCATATGTTTGGCAGGCGCCCAGGAAATGCCTAAAGAAACCTCAGAACATTTTTGTTGATCGTTCATTGATCGCTTAATAATTTCCGTAGATGTAGCGTAATTTGAAAGTAAACTCTCAAGTTTATTTCTACGAATTAGAGTTTCTATTCTGGATTTTTCTTTAAATATTTTATGTTTTGTTTCGTAATGCCGTTTAACATTCGAACTTTTAATTATTGTCACACTCTTATGGCAAATCAAACAAACAGGTACAGCTCCAACTCGGTTTGGCAAAGTGAAACAATATAAAGCTGTCCATTCAGGTTGAAACAGTATGTTTTCTGATTCAATTTTTCTTTTCTTATCCATATTGATATCAATGTAAAATATAAACACCGCTTGAATTATATAGAAAACAACACTTGAAAGTATTAACCAGAAACACGATAAAAAGAATAAAAACGTAAACAACACTCAGAATGACGACTGATCGAAGACTGGGATGCACGATATTCATCAATGATTGATAAACATCGTACTCCTTGGCTCAATGATGTTTTGCCATCGATATTTAGGTATTCGATAACATCGATGTTAAATGAAAATATCCAACATCAACCCCAGTAATCTTTAGTTTTATTAAATACAATAGAGTTATTATAAAATTTCACAGAATGGTTACTGTGTCAGAAATATGCAAATTGAAATTATGTTATTATAAAATATAAAATATTACCTGAAAATTAACCTGTTAACCCTGGACTTAAGAACCCTAAATTAGGTTCTTTCTTAGATCTAGAAGAACCTATGTACCAAGTTTAAAGACTCTAGTACTTTTTTCAAGAATCATCGCTCAAAAAATAATGCAGAGGTGTAAATCACGACGTGACTTCAATAATATTTATTATATTATATTTATATATGATATTTATGGTGTTTAATACTACGTATATAATAATATTATTAATTTTTTATACATAAAATTGAACTATTAATGGAAATTTTATCGTCACAAAATACATTGATAAGGTTTTATACTGATATTGTTTTTATCATCTATTATTCAAAGCAAAATGTTTAATGGGCCATTCGGCTAATATTAAACTAAATTAAAGGTAAATTTTAAATTTTTATTGTAGCTCTTAAACATACAGGGTAATACAATTGTTTTGAGAATTACATTTCTCATATATGTGTGTTTTTTTTAATCTTTCCATCATAAATATGCGTGTGTTATTTGTGTAGGACCTAATCGTAATAGATCAATTCTAACCTGGTTGGCCCTACTTGTGTTTTGCTTCCTCCACGTTTTTATCTTTTTCTTCTTTGAGTGCCTCTCCTCTCGGAGATTGGATATCATTATGGCGATTCTAATTTTATTAACTGCTGTTTTGAATAATTCGTTAGTGGTACAGCCAAACCGCTCTCTTAAATTTCTCATCCAGGACATTCTTCTATGGCCTGGATTTCTGCGTCCTTGAATTTTTCCTTGCATTATATTTTGTAGGAATGTGTACTTTTGTCCTCTGATCAGGTGGCCTAAGTATTCAAGTTTTCTCTTTTTTATATTCAGGATAACTTCTGGATCGTTATTTATTCTGCGTGTTACCTCTTCATTTGTAATTTTATCCACGTAACTTATTATTAGTATACGGCGGTAGCACCACATCTCAAATCTTTCAAAATTTTTAGCATTCCTCTGTTTAAGAGTCCATGCCTCAACACCGTAAAGCAAAGTGCTGAATACATAGCATTGTAACATTTTAGTTCTAGTAGTAGATGAATAGCACGATTACAAAATAATTTTTTCATTTTTATAAAGGTAGACCTGGCAATTTCAATACATCTTTGTATCTCGTGATTTTGGTCACCTGTTTCATTGACGAGGGTTCCCAAGTATTTGTATTCGTTTACTTTTTCGAGTTGGGTACCGTTTATTACGATACTAGTGTCATGTATTGGATTCTTACTGAAGGTCATATATTTCAACTAGATGTTGTAGATCTTTCGCTGTTCTTGCCATTATCACAGTATCGTCAGCATTTCGAATGATATTGATAACTTCTCCATTGACTATTATCCCAGTGACAATATAAAACCCTGTCGTACTCCTCTACGTATTTCTATTTCGTCTGATGTTTGGTCTTCTATTTTTATTGAAAAAGACTGTAAGACTTGTACACACTTCTAAATAGGTCTAACTGGTAAACAGGTTTTGTATGTTTTCAATAAAATTGATAGTGTGTAAAATAATTTATTAATTAAGCTAAGTATACTTTCGACATAATAAATGTCATCATCAGAGCTATCGTCAATTAGGCAATAAATACTTCATAGAAGGAAAATTGTGGACAAACGACATATTAAAAAACAAAGATCGGGCTCTGTAGGCCACAGATCTTGGGTCTAAACCTTAAACATATGTATAATTCACATCAAAATTTTTTATAAAACATGGCTACCACATACAGTAACGACAACAGCTGTTTTTGACTTACATTTTTGAAGTAATGTATTCAAAAATACTTCAAAAATGTAAGTCAAAAACAGCTGTTGTCGTTACTGTATGTGGTAACCATGTTTTATAAAAAAAAATTTTGTCTTTAGGAAAAGATGAACTTTTGTTTAAAAAAACTTAAGCAAGATAGGAGTGGCTTTGATAAAAATATATTTTGTTTCAGAACGGATCTTTACCTTTCAAAAGATTCGACTTCATCATTGGATGGCTGTTTCGTGAACTCTCCGGTCCTTACCTGTTCCTTCTAGCTCTGTGTCATCCTGAAATTAAATGGCGTAACCGTGTATTTAAACTGACTTGGGGTGGTATGGCGCAGGAGGTCAAACCTTGAATCAAAGATTAAATGTGTCAAGCGAGACTTCAATATACCAGTTGTATCAAATACCTGATGTACATTTTTTTAATATTGTATTTGATTTCGTTATGTATTATTTATTTGATTTTTGTTACTTGCTACGTGTTGCGAAATGACGGATACTTTTTTCGTTTGTTACACTTTATGGTGTACTAATTTTTGATATAATAGCCAAACAGTGTCATAAGTTTGAGTTAAATTTAAATACAATTTAATACTTGAACCATACTTGAGACAGCTTTTTGAGGTCTTTTCAACGTTTCCATAATTCAAATATATATGTATACTAGAATTATAATTAAACACTGAGAAGTATATATATATATATATATATATATATATATATATATATATATACATTGCCAACCTTAAGACAATGTTAATTGCAATTTTCGATTTTTAGCCTCAAATAAGCATTTTTATTTATCAAAATAATCTTTAGAAAATATGGTATGTTGAAGTTTAGCCATTCTTGTTGTAGCATTTGCAATTCATTGATTTTTTTGGTGTTTATTGAAATCCCCTCGTATATGTAATATATTGAAATCCCCTCATATATGTTTAAAAGAAAATAAAACGAAGAATTTTTTCCATGTTCGTTAGTTCGTATCTTTCAAGTTAAAATACCCAAAAGTGTTTTCAATAATTTTATTTGCATTGCTGGATGTTAATGTAAACCATTTTAGAGTTGTTTATTATTTTAAATTTGTCTACTTTCTCGGCATTTTATTTTAATATTTTATTCGAGGTCGCCTTATAATTTTTATGTCGTAGAAATGGAATCTTTTACGTCTTAATTTTCGTTGTGTTTTGTTATTTCAGCGTTTGTTTATTTTCAAGTTAAGTGAACGAATTTTTAAGAGAATTTCGTCATTCTTACTGGGGTCGTCGTAGTCTCAGGTATGGGTCTAAATTCTTAGTTGGGTCGTGGTAAGCTCAGGTTTTGGCCCATTTTTGTGGAAATATTATAAAAATGATTATCTATAGAACTAAGTCAATTTTTTTAGGTTTTGAAACATTAAGAATTAGCATTTCTCATCTTCATTAGTAATTCGAACCTCCTATTGGTTCTAACTTTCTGAACAAACTCCCTTCTATTTTCCAACGAATTCCTCTTCGGCTGCGTTTTATTCGCCGTTGCTTTCAATTGTTCTACCCTTGACACCTTAGTATTTCCCACAGCACCAGCTTTAAAACCTAATCTGGATAAACCTTTCTTCTCGGCAGTTACAGCTTTGGGAATTTTGGACACGACTGCTTTCTTCTCTACGGGTTTTACAATTCTGACGTTCGACTTGAATGGAGTGATTTTTGTTTTAGTCTTGGTGATCAACATGTTTGAAGTCAACTGTTCTAGTTTTTTAGGCGGACTCCTTTTGGGATTATACCTTAAAAATTTCCTGCTCTTGGGAGATTTTAATTTAAGCGTGGGTGACTTGACTTTAAAACTTGACGATGAAACGGATAAACTTGTTTCTGGCTGTGGTTTCTTTCCAGACAATAGCTGGTCTGCCCTCAATGCTTTCCTTTCACTTATTTCCTTCAGATTTTCAAATTTATTGTATGCTTTTTGATGGATCAATGCAAAATTGGGTAGTTTTGTTCTTTTCACATTTCTTCAGAAGAATCTAACTTCTTTCTTGACTTTTTTTATTTTCTGATAATGAGTAATTCTCTTTGGATCCACTCAGATTTAAATCTACTTTGGGCAAATAAAAAAGATTGTTCTTTTTCTTAGTAACAGACTTTTTTAAGCGATCACTTTTTATGAATATCTTATGAAGCTATTAAAGCTGAATTTGAAAAGAAAGAAGAATTCTTCTATAAAGCCAAGACATCTCAGAAGAAGGATTGGATAAAATACAAGGAGCAACGAGATAAATGTGCAGAAGTCTATGAGGAAGCCGAAAAGGGATCTGCAGGGCATCATTAGGTGCGTATCCCGCAGCTATTGGCCGAAACTAATTTCACACGAGTTACGTCACCTATTGATTATACAGCGGACATCCACTTATAGGACAGTAGCAAAAAGTCAGCTGAATCAGAGATGAACAAAAATTCTGAAAGTCAGCCCATTGAGCAACATCAGTTCAGTAGCTGAGACTTCAGTTAAGAAGTCACCCCTGCTTAAGTTGGGCCCCACATTTAAGATTAATTGAAAATATATTTTGGCCTTTTAATTTAAAATAAATTCAATGTTATTTTAACTTGGTGTAATTGTAAGTTATGAAATTTTGTCCTCGGTATGTCTGTGGATCCATGATTGTATAGTGATAGACATTATTTATTATGAATTACCTACATGTTTGCTTTTTGCAAGCAAATATTTACTTATAAATAGTATTTTTTATTTTCGTTCTGGGTTGTAATATTTATTTATGTTCTGAACTCAGTATCTTCATCATACGAAGATATATCTGTGTAACAAAATAGTATTTAATAAAAAAGATTCTTAAAATCCAAAAAAAGATTCCACTGCTACACATTTCCACAAAAAGGGGCCAAAACAGAAAACTACAAATTCGACGGTGAATTTGGATTCATACTGAGCCTAGTAAGAATTTAGATCCATACCTGAGACTACGACGACCCCAGTAAGAATGACGAAATTCTCTTAAAAATTCGTTCACTTAACTTGAAAATAAACAAACGCTGAAATAACAAAACACAACGAAAATTAAAACGTAAAAGATTCCATTTCTACGACATAAAAATTATAAGGCGACTTCGAATAAAACATTAAAAGAAAATTCCGAGAAAGTACACAAATTTAAAATAATAAACAACTCTAAAATGGTTTACATTAACATCCAGCAATGCAAATAAAATTATTGAAAACACTTTTGGGTATTTTAACTTGAAAGATACGAACTAACAAACATGAAAAAAATTCTTCGTTTTATTTTCTTTTAAACATATATGAGGGGATTTCAATATATTACATATACGAGGGGATTTCAATATACACCAAAAAAATCAATGAATTGCAAATGCTACATTGTAACAAGGCTGCCATTTACCTGAATTTCTAAAAAAATGCAAAGCTTAATTTAAAGACATTAAAAATCTAAATAAACAATTTGTATTATACAGAGTATACCTTAAATGTATGTAAAGTTAGCTGTTATGTAGTAGAAGTTTTTTATTTACAAGTTCATTATGGCGACTGAAAATTTCTTAATTCGGTAATTAAAAACTGAATACTCTCATTGTACTTTTAAACTAGTATTACTTAAAAGTTACTTATGCATAAGCTGCAAAATCTGCAAAAATCCCTGCACTTGACAGTGGCATGATGAGCAATCTATACCTAATATTTGTTTTATCATTTCCTTTTAATATTCTGTGAATAAAAAACTTTTACCATATCTGTGTAGAAACATGGGAAATGTATTTCAAGGTATTTTTAGTGAGAATGTCATCAATCGTGATATTTTACTTGCTATATACAATATAATGAAGGTCCAGAGGTCCACTAATCTTAAGTAAGACATAATTGTAGCATTAATTTTTAAATAAAGTCCGCTGGAAGAGAAGTGCATGACAAGTATTTCGGCTTTATTAGTTTTCCTTATGCGATTATACAACATAAAATTTTTTCTACATCTCCGATTTTAATGTCAAAACGTATGTACACAAAAGGTTCCTTGCAATTTGTCAGCATGTAAAGAAAAAACGATTTTTAAGTTGTGTTCTAAATTTTTTTACTTAAAATGCACCAACTATAAGAGTACCTACAGTACGGTCTCGTTTTATGTGACTATTTATATTTATTTATATCGTGTCGATAAACAAAAAAAAAACAGGGAAACCTGTGTATTTTACTAGTATTGTTGTTGAAAGTAAACTAATTATTTTTAAACTTCGTCTGCAGGTGGATCTTTTTCAAAGTTGTCTCGTTTTACTTGTAAAGTTTATTTTGGTGTTATTCTAGGACAAAACTGGTCCATATTTCTATTCACTTTTGCGACTATTTTTATTTATTCATATCGTGTGGATAAACAGAGGAACCTGTTTATTTTACTAGTATTGTTCTGTCTGCAGGTGGATGTTTTCATAAGTTGTCTCGTTTCAAAAAACGTGTTATAAATAGCTTAATTCTTCAATATTATTCCAGTTTAAATCATGATGTTTTTCTATCAATTTTTCAACATCAACTGTATTTTTTATTTTACTTGTAGAGTAAATCTTCGCCTTTTAAAGCACATGGTCTAACAGATTTATTTATTAAGAGCGGTTTCAACATCCTATCTCTTGATGTATTGCTACAAAGTATGTAATAGTGTTACTCGATCTTTACTTGCTTTATGTCCACTTGCAGTTTTTTCTTCCTTTGCGATGTAAGTACGGTTAGGCATTTTTTCCCAATACAGTCCCGTTTGATCAGCGTTAAATACTTGATCGGCACAATAGTCCTCATCTTCAATAATTTTCGCTAGCTCCTGTGAAAGGAGCTATTTTTGCTGCTGATTTATCTTCAGTAGCTTTCTATTCTGTGAACTTGATATTATGAAATGCATTTCTTTTTATAAACCGTAAACTGAGGTTACTTTGCTCCGTTTTTAAAGGTATCTGAAGAATTTTCAACAAAATGTTTATAAAACCGAGAAATATCTTTATTTACTTGAACCCTGCTTGTAAAAAATACTTTAAACAATTATGGTTTAAATTAAAGCTCAATAATAACGAATTATTGTTATTTTTTCATTTGAAATATGGAGCAAAGCTTCTCATAGCCAAAGGTTACTTTGCCTCACATCATAAAATAACGTGTAATCGCTAGTTTTTACATCACTGTATTTTGTCATCACAGTTTTTTAAAACTTAATAGGTTTTAGAAACAAATACCTAATATGTGTATTGAATATAGCGTTGTACCAAAATGTTCAACTGCGTATATAGTCACTGTACAAACAAGCCAGCTCAGACACAGAAAAGATACCCCTTTTTGTTACGTGTTTGGGAGGTTTATTAGATCCAAGAACATTGGACCAAGAGTATGTAAGTTGATCTTTCTTTGGAGGCCACTTCCACATTTTTAGCGATTTTTGCATTGCATTAATTGTAACTTCATCAGTGTAAGATCGTCCGATAAATCATCATTTTAACTAAGTGTGTAGTCTCCTCTAAAAGTAGAAGATTCTGGGAGCTGCTCGCCATTTGCTGTAGTGGAAGTCGTAGGTTTTCACACTTTTTCCAGGAGGAATGTTGATTTTCTTTCTGCGATTCTTTGTAGTGTTAGTTGACAAAGATCTTCGTGTTTCAAGTATTTGAAGAAATGCGTATTCTACAATATCTGTGTTGTTTGAACTTAACAAGGTATACGGGTTAAAACTTCCTCAACATTCATAGGAAATATCCCACATTTGCGAAAACCGGATATCAAATTATCTTCGATGGCT